ACAGCACTTCCAGAGATCGTAGGGCTCTGAACGCCCCCTCCTCAATGCAGCTGATGTGGTTTTTGTCCAGCTGCCTGTTCAATAAAGAGGCACACAGCAAACGGGAGTGTCAGCCATGGTGTTGCCCACCCCCCCCCCCCCCCCCCCCCCCCCCCCCCCCCCGCCACTATTGTGTGGTGCGTTCTCACTCACAGGTTCTTGAGTTCCGTCGCTCCCCTGAAAGCTCGCCTCGGGATTGCCTGGATGGCGTTTTCACTCAGGTCCCTGAGAAAAAAAACAGATTCCGAAAAGATTCTGTCAGCCTAAAACGTAAAACTTTCAGCACAGCTTTCCTATGTGGGTTCATTCACTTATTTCAGCTATTTGGGTCGGTCGGCTTGCATTCGTGGATATGAAATCTGAAGAGAGAAAAAGAATAAGAAAAGCTGATATCAAGGAAACAAACATCCATCCATTATTGTAACCGTTTATTCCCTAATGCTTTCGCATGGAGAACTGGAGCCTATCCCAGTGGTCAATGGCCAATAGGTGGGGTACACCCTGGACAGTCCGCCAGTCCATCGCAGGGCCACACAGAGACACACAAGGACCAACAACCACACACACTCACTCCTAAGGGCAGTTTGGAGTGTCCAATCAACCTAACATGCAGGTTTTTGGACAGTGGGAGGAAGCCGGAGAACCCGGAGAGAACCCTTAGACCCATAAACCCATAACCTTCTGACTATGAGGCAACAGTGCTAACCACCACACCACATTGCACAAAAGCGTTTGAATGGTAGGCTCCTTTGCAGGAGTCCCAAATGACTTTCAGCCCCTCGGGCTTATCTGCACCATTACCGCTCAGTTTCATACCGGTCTAAATACCGGCTCCTGGTTATCTCGATGCCATTTTCTGTCTGCTCCGCAGGGATCTGCAGGGCAACGGCCGAGATATTCGCAGACCACAGAGGACCCCGCAAGCTTTACGAGAAACAGAAGGACCGCTCTCAAAGCGAGCAACTCGGTGGGCAGAAAGCGGCAGATTTATGGATTGATGGCGCTTTGAATAAGTGTGTGTGCGAGTGTGTTGGAGAGACCGCGGAGGAGGGAGTACATCCTCCCTGGCCCCCTGAAGGACCTCAGGCACACTCCATTAACATCAGGGTCCAACCTGAGGCTTGACAGAGCAGAAAACCCCCACTCACTGAGACCCACGCTGCTCATATATGGACCATCTCAACCAGCCGTACAAAGTATATCAAACTGACACCCGGGAACTTTTGGGAGCAATGAATCTGAGTGTATATAGAAGAGAATGAGCACAGGACAAGCTTGGAAAAGAGAAAATATGGGGAGGATTATCCGCCCGAGGGGTTATGTGGTGTTGTTATTGATCTGAACTGTCATGATGCAGAATCAGTGGATTCGTACTACAGAACGCAGCTTTTCTGTTTCGCTTTTTGGGCATATATCATAGGTCTGGGTGCATTTTTTGGTCAGCTTATGTGTCATATTGATTCAGAAAATTCAGGGAGCTGTCCTGATTTGTGGGGAGTATCAGGAGTATCAAGCTAATCTTTAGTTTATTTCCACCCATAGGCCACATCATGAGAGTGGAGCAGTGAAAGTCTTCGAAAGTACATTGCCAATGAGCACTTACATAGTTCATTAAACTTTAGAGTGATTGTCTGTCTGGTAGGCGGAAACAAAGCTCAATATGTCCGGAGTTTATCACAACAATGGTGTGCAAAGGCACTTCAGAGGAACTGATACGGGCCAATTTTGATCTTTTTTTTTCAAATTTTCAAGCCAATGGCATCGCAAAAAGCCCACCAGACAGTATTCCATCCTTCTGCTACATCTGGATGTCTGTGATGGTCACCTACACTGCAGCACGGTTTGGAACAGAGACGAGGAAAGCTTTGGACTCATTCACCCATTCATTGCCCATTAATTTGAACGTCTTCCATTTTGTTTAAAGTCTCAGCTTCGTTTGATCTCTCTGAACTGCTCAGGTCGGAGTCGTTTAAAAATCCCAAAGGTGCGCTGGGATGAGAGACAACCTACACAGAGCCCATAAAGAAAGGCCCCCCAGCGGGATTTGAACCAGGGACCTTCTTGCTACGAGGTGATAGTGACAGCCTGGACTATGTCTACTTCATCCCTGATCGATCTCTTAAAAACATGTTTCAAATTGAGCTTTGGCCACAAAATGGAGGAGAGAGCTCCTTGGTCAAAAGCCAGTAGACCAGAACAATACAAGTCAGAAGAAGCTAAATGAAACTAAACTAACTATACACAGCATCTGGGGTTTGTCATAAAAACAAGAGACGGGTCTCAGTAGAACAAATATCTATTTGATTGCTGTCTCTTCTGTAGAATAATAATTTAAGATTTTAGCATTTCTACTTCCCCGAGACATAAAATCTAATAAAGAATTCCATGCAGCTCTTTCTATGGGTTGTAAAAAATAGCCTTATGGGATCTACAGCTGTTCAAATGACCATAAAAAAAAAACTTTATGACTGCACTTTTCTTATCTTTTTACATTTAAATCCCACTTTAAAACACCCACATCCACGGTATTAGTAGTTTCATTAAAGTGCTGGCTCTTTTTCTCTCTTTGCTTACTGTTTCTCTCTCACACGCCCCCGCACAGAAGACCACTCAGGATTAAAAATGCTTTCCCCTCAGGTTGTCAGGTGATCTGTTACCATGACACTGTCGGGCAGAGCAGAGCCCGAGTTTGCCGAAGGGAAACAGTGGTCACAGCTGGATGTGTCTGTGTGTGTGTGTGTGTGTGTGTGTGTGTGTGTGTGGACAGTAGCAGCCGGTCGTTGTTCTGTAGCCACTCCCGTTGTTTCAATAACCCCCTCCACACAGCAGAGGGTGAGAAAAGCAAACTTTCCCACTCGTTTCATCTTCTCATCACCTCCGTCGGTCGCCCCCCTCCCTCCTCGGCGCCAGGTCAGACCCGGGTCAGCCCCCGGTCAAACACCGGCCGGTCCGACCGGCACCGCTTCCCATTGGTTGGTCCAGCCGGTGACCTTTCAAAACGCTTTCCAATTTTAGCTCCGCGGGCTCTGTTCTCTGAGCTCAACCAGCGTTATTTTCCCTTTTCTCGACCCGTCCGGAGTCCGTTTGGCTCCACACCCCGCACTGTCCAGTGGGATTTGAACCAGGGACCTTCATCACCAGATTTTGTCTTCTGGTGATGTTTAAGAAGAATTCCCTTCTCGTCTGGCACAGTGACTAAATTGGCCTTCAGCTATTCATTTTGAGGAAATACTAATGTCAATTATGAGCCTCTTTGTTTTGTGTGATGACAAAGTTACGGCCATATTTTTAACAAAGGACAGAGCTCTTATTTGATAGGAGAATGTGGTGCTGTTCTGAGCATATATAAGGGCTCTTTTCCTAATCCCGACACTTCATTCACTTGAAAACGTACAAAAAGGATAATTCGTGTAATGAAATGTTCCGATTTTACAGGCCAGTACGGCTGTAACTTTGTATTCCGAACTGGTTGACTCGGTTTCATCATCAGGGCCATGAAAGAATGTTTGTTTTTGATGCCAAGTGTTGTCAGTTTGACTTAAAAGAGGAAAGTCAATAATCTGATTAAGGTGTTAGAATCGGGATTGGATAGTTGGACTGTTAAACCTTTCAATGCCCCTGAGAAACAAACATATCTGAATCCTTAAAGTTGCCAACGTGTGGTGCGAGTACCCACAAGCTCCAAAACCTCCCGCTAGAATTTTCTGACTCACAGATGAAGCCTTGCGTGAGCTTTCGGAGCTTTTCTTTTCAAGTCTGTTTGTCAGCCTCGAGAGTCTGACAAGTACAGGTCAAAGGCCAAATTCTCCCGTGAAGCTTTAACGTGATAAAGGGGGTGTCTGGTGGGAAAAATAAAGGTAATCAGGAGGCGCTTCTCAGTCAGAACAAAGCACCTAAGATGAATAAGACTCCACTCAGAGGTGTGATCTTCCCTCAATATGGCTGCTGGGACATGTCATTTGGTTCATTTGCCACCCAAAATGCAGCAATCTAATTAAGAAAGTCCTTTATTACACAAAAAAGAGAGAAAATACTCAGATTAAAGCATGCATGGAACAAGATCTTAAGTCATGTGAGTCGAAATTTCTGTGCAATCTGTTGGTTTCCTTGGCTAGGAGACCTAATGGGGGGGGACTTGTATGAATTGGACCATTATTAATAGAAATAATTGAATTTGAAAGGATTTTTTTTTTCACAATTAATTGTATTCTAATTGGTTTGAATTAGAAAAGTCTAGTTTAAATTATCCAGAGACAAAATCTGTTTAAAACCTGATTGAATCACTAATAATACCAAAAACACATGCTATGCTTTCAGGCAATACATTTTTCCTGTTTGAATTTCTAAATTAGATTTTTATGGTGTCTCTTTCTGTAAAATATGTATGAATAAATGCCAAGTGGACCCCGCATTCCCCCTCCATCTGAATTATCTGCTGTTTGGCTCTGGAACCTTAAGAAGGTGATAGTAAAACCCTTTAATACGTAATATTCCTGTGGTCTCAATCTCTACTTTTTTTGTCTGTAATCACTCACCAGGCTGTTCCTCTTTCTCTGTTTATTTCTGGTAGCCACCCAGAGCTAATCCGTTCTGTCTGCTGGGATTCGCACCAGGAACCGTCTAGAAGTGATGCATCGGTACTGACATCACTCCACCGTGCACCCCACATTGTTTTAGCAAAAAGGGGACCCAGATAAGTCATGATTTATATGAGTTCTCTAACTCACACATTGATGTTTGGGGTCATTAACCACTGACAAAACCAACATCAACCCTGATAATTACCATGGAATACTTGGCCAGTACCAATAAATCAATTTCTAAGCATTCTCTCATTAAAATCCTACCATTTGGGCCCCATAAAACCCCACAACTATAGCAGAATCTCAGTTTTTTTGGACCACATCAACATGAAAAAACAAGAAGAACTTTGTCATCTGTCCTGGGGATTTGGAGAGAAATATAAAAAGAATGAGGACACAAAGACGAAGTAATGACTAAGTTTTAAAAACTTGCTCACTGTGGTCCTGAAGACTCCATCCCCCCATCAGGAGCTAACGGTTTTACCTGGAAGTCATTACACACATCTTCTCCAGTTTAGCCTGAAAACTAATAGCAGTGAAACACGCACAATGGCTTTCTCCCCTCCATTTGGCAATTTCATCCCACTGAAGACCGGGAGAAATTCTAATGGTGTTGAAATTGTCACAGAAATGAATTGCTTCTCTGCTCCAACGCAATTGCGTTTAACAATTTATAAGCTAAAAAAAACGAGGTTCTCAACACACCACAGAGAGGAGATGGACTCGCTGTTGCACTGGGCCTGAGGTGCGTTATGCTTTTGAAAGAAGTCATTTCAAGTAGGGAGTGGAGGTGTACATTGCCTGGTCTTTAACAATTCTGAGACAGACAAAAGACCAGAATAAGGAATGAAAAAACCACAACCCAGGAACGGGCTTGAGTGTATTAAAATGTCAGTAAATCCTACTGAAATGCTGCTGTGAAGAAAAGCGCGCAGATACAACCAAGTGCCACTCGCTGTCGTTATTGGAGCCTTGATGGAGCCGTCTCTTTAATACACACCCCAAACACCCTAACCCACATCCACACGCAGAACGCACACGACCTGAACTCAGCGAACCCTCGGATGGGTCAAAAATGATGTCACGAAAACCCGTCTCTATGGTAACAGCACAAACTCGGCCACCTTGGGAGGGCAGACTGATAAACCTGCTTTTTTTCACCTTCTTTCTGTGCTTCAATATTTGGATTCATTTGGTGTATCAGTGCTTCCTCTTATTTTCACTACCTATTTTTTTTTTTTCAAATTGACCAAGTGCTCTCCAATCCCACCAAACCGGTTTAGATAAGCCGGAGAAATATATTTGTATGGACAAAAGGAACGCAGGTCCTGTTTTTCCAG